TCTACCTTCGGCTCAGGTCATGATCCCAGGGTCCTGGGATCGAACCCTGCATCGGGCTCCCTGCTCTGCAGGAAGCCTGCTTCTCCCTCTCCCACTCCCCCTGCTTGTGTTCCCTCTCTCGTTGTCTCTCTCTCTGTCAAATAAATAAATAAAATCTTTAAAAAAACAAAAAAGATGTATTGCCAAACAATTTTTAAAGTGAAAACTTAGTGAGCCTTAAGCCCACAGGAGCATTTATGTTTTAAACTTCCCACTTTTCTTAGATAGATTACAGGATTTTTTTTTAAGACTTTATTGATTTATTTCAAAAGACAGAGAGAGAGAGAGAGCAAGCAGGGGGGTGGGAGAGGGAGAGAGAAAATCTTAAGCAGGACCCACGCCCAGCATGGAGCCCCACAAAGGGCTTGATTTCACGACCTGAGCAAAAATCAAGAACTGGACACTCAACCGACTGAGCCACACAGGCGCCCATGAGATTACAGGATTTAAGACAAGGTGCTAAAAACCTAAGATAATTTCAAACCAGGAAGCATTATGGTCCTTACACAGCTCTTGTTCACCAAGAGCAGGGCCCTCCCTACCCACACCCTGCACAATAACCCAGGAAAAAGAGAGGCGAGAACAAGTAGGGGTTTTGTTAAACCAACCTCTAACCCTGGGATGCAGCTTGCTGACCCCTGCCTCCTTCACCCTCAACCACAAGTGGAGAAGGAAAGGCTTTCACTAAAGACCCAGCCAAATCCATGGGGCTAGAACAGGCCTACTGTCCTAACTCGAGTTAATTTTATGTGCTGTGCTGTCCTTTGCCCTCCCTGGCTACATATCTAAAGGAGGCCTTTTATATAGCCTTCACTCCTTCTGCTACCAAGAACCCTACAAAAGAGCTTCACAGTCATGTCAGTGAAGTAAGAATGCAAGTAAAGAAGACCCATTACTTGAGGGTCCTTCCATTCTGATGACTTATATATGTCTCTTCTAAGGTGAAAGGAGTTTAATCTGGTTCCAGAATGACTTACTGGTGACTACTCAGTCAAGCGAAGGGCTTCAATCATTCCACAATGAGGGTCTCCTACATAGAGGCTCCAGTGGAGTAGTGGATGGGCTGGACTCTAGAACCAAACTGCCTGAGTTCAAGTCCCAGCTCTGTCTCATATTAGTTATGGGACTTTATACAATTATTAACCAAACTGAGTCAGTTTCCTTGTGTGTAAAATGCAAATTATGATAATACTAACACCCACCTTATAGGGTTGTCTTATAAAAACAAAACAAGCTAGCTGGCAGAGAGCAAGCCCTTGATAAATTGTTGGCCAATATGCCAAGCAGTGTTGTCTTTGAAGCTAAAGAAGCCATATTCTCAGCCTCATTTTTTGAGGCCACCATTCAGATTCTAGGATTAAATACTATATGCCTTCGGCTACATGGGAATGGAAGAAAAATCCAAACCTCAAAATGAAATCCACAAGTCTCGTTCTGACCTTTAAGGCCCTCTACAACCTACTCCCATCCTTCCTTCCAAACAGACCTCCTGGTATATTCCTGTACCAATTCTCCAGGTCATCTAGCCTTTAAAAACATATCAAGCACCTATGTGCCATATACTGTGCTAAGCATGGTTCTGCCATCTGGTCAACCAGCCTTTGCCTTTCTAGATGGCCTTCACTTGGCTAGCCTTCAAACCAGAGCTCAAGATCAAGCACATCCACAAAGCCCTCCCTAGCTACTCCAACCACCAGGGCTTCCCCTTCTGACCTCTCTGAGGTCTTCTGGCTTCTATTTGGTATTTACCATATATTGATTATTTTGTTATATGGTTAAATTTTATATGCCTAACTAAAGCACAAGTGATTCAAAGAAAGGGATGAATCTTACATTTCTTTGTATAACTCTCACTGACTAGTACTGTGCTTTGCACTTAGAGGGACTCAGCAAATTAGTGATCTACTTGTGGTTTCAAGATGACACAGATAGCACACAGCAAATACATTATCATTCATTTTAAACACGCTTCTGATCAATACTCCCTTCATAGTGTAGAGACTTAAAGGCTCAATCATTAGACCTAGACTAAGTAGGGGCGCCTGGGTGGTTCAGTCATTAAACATCTGCCTTTGGCTCGGGTCATGATCCCAGAGTCCTGGGATTGAGCCCTGCATTGGGCTCCCTGCTCAGCGCGGAGGCCTGCTTCTCCCTCTCCCACTCCCCCTGCTTATGTTCCCTCTCTCGCTGTGTCTCTCTCTCTGTCAAATAAATAAATAAAATCTTAAAAAAAAAAAAAGACCTAGACTAAGTAGGTTCATGGTTAAATCTGCAACTTACCAGCTGTGTGACCTTGAAGAAGTTACTTAACCTGTCTGTATTCAGTTTCTTCATTTATAAGCTGGGGATAAACAAAGTACCCCACACTTCCTAGGACAGTTATAAGGATAAAGTCAGGTAATACATATAAAGCACTTTCAACAGGACCTGGCACACAGTAATTAACTAATTACTCTATAAAAATTCATTATTATTATTACTACTATTTTCCTGAAGTTCAACACATCTGGAATGCCCCAAAAAGCATTTTGTAAAGTATGCTGAGCCTATACAAAAAGCTACTGGATTCAGTATATACAAAATATTTCTCCCTTCTTATTTCGCCAATAAGTTGTTCAAAAAGGCATCTCTTGGGCACCTGGGTGGCTCAGTTGGTTAAGTGTCCAATTATGGATCTCATCTCAGGTCTTGATCTCAGGGTCATGAGTTCAAGCCCCACATTGGGCTCCACAATGAGCATGGAGCCTACTTTAAAAAAAAAAAGGCATCTCAAAAGCTGTTCACATAGATGTATTCAGTTTGTGAAAATATACTGAGCTACACATTTTCATGTGTATGTTTCTCTCTGCAAACTGTGTTTCAATAAAAATTTAGCATTAAAAAAAAGGAATCTCTACCTCTACCATTAATCATTTCCCTCAGGTTGCTACAAAATTGGTAATTCTACTGTACCTTCAATTTTACCATAATTCTCAGCAAAATTTTGAGTATGTATACAACTCAAAAAAATATTTTACCCATGGCTTGAAAGAGCAAGGAAGGTCTTAACCAAAGCTGAGTCACTATCTAATACCTCAAGGCTCTACAGAGCCATCAAATTCACCACTTTCCCGTGAAATACCTTCTTCAGTTATGTTTTTTAGTCTGTCCCAGGCATCAGTGAAAGCAGAAAATTCTGCCTCAAACCCACCAAGTATGGTAATACCTCTTGTCATCAAAATAGCACATTTTCCATCAAGCCATTTCTCTTTCTCTCTCTTTTTTTTGCTACAACTTTTCAGTGAGTTTTTTAAAAAAGATTTTATTTATTTATTTGACAGAGAAAGAGAGATCACAAGTAGGCAGAGAGGTAGGCAGACGGAGAGGGAGAAGCAGGCTCCCCGCTGAGCAGAGAGCCCAATGCGGGGCTCGATCCCAGAACCCCAGGATCATGACCTGAGCTGAAGGCGGACGCTTAACCAACTGAGCCACCCAGGCATCCTTTTTCAATGAGATTTTAATTAAGATCAGTTTTAATGCACAGGCTAAGAGACAAATAACTCTTCAATCATGAGATAAAACGAAACTGCTGACAGAGAGTGGGCAGTTCAAATTCACACTGGCATTTAAAAAACAAAACAAAGAAACTACCAACTTTCTCTCAAGAATTTGCAACGAGGGGGGACATGCTGCTGTGCAACCTCATAAACCAAGTTCTGCAAACTGACTTGCACTCAGCCTGTGCGCCTACAAATGACTCCTGGTCTGAGTTTACTGCAGTCTTCACCACTTTTTTTTTTAATATTTTATTTATTTATTTGAGAGAGAGCGAGAGAGAGCCTGAGCTGGGGGAGAGGGAGAGGCAGACACCCCATTGAGCATGCGGGACTCAAACACAGGACCCTGGGATTATGACCTAAGCCGAAGGCAGACGCTTAACCGACTGAGCCACTCAGGCGCCCCAGCCTTCACCACTTCTTACTGGCTTCTTCAGTACAGCACAGAGGTGAAGACCACAGATGTAAAACCTGGCTCCTCCACTTCCCAGCCACATGACACTGTGCACATCATCTCCTCTCATCATTTGTCAAATGGGAAAAATAAGCCTACCTACCTCAGAGCTGTGACTAAGTGAGCTCACGAAATAAGAATATCCTTATTTACTGTTAGATTCAGTAATTGTTTAGCCCAGTGCTGGGTGGTGGTGCACACTCAATAAATGGCAATTATTATCATCACTATCGTCTCATTTGTATGTGAATTCAATAGCCAAAACCAAGAGGTTAATCATTTTTCAAGTCAATGTGTTTCTTGTTGAGACCAGCCAGTTTACAGAACTGGTCCAACAAATTCTTTCATGTAGCTCATCATACAACAGACACAAAGCAAATAACCACAAAACAGAGCAAATTAAGCTTCCAAATTCGTTAAGTATCCCTGACTGGGAATGCTAAGATGATGCTGTGGACTCTTACTTAAGCAACAATGTTCCAACCAAGTCTTTTGCTTCTTATCTCCAATCTCATACTTTGGTGGCCTCCAGGAAGCACAGCTCTGTACTTTTTATAATATTACACATTAAAATACCTAAATAGGCAAAATTAATACTTCCTAAGCATCTTATGCCAGGAGTGTCACCTCTCAGTAGAAGATCTATTTATTTTATGATAAATAACAAAAAAGCTTTCTCGAAATTCTTATTTAGGACAAGAAAATAAATGTAACCTATGCATGGAGCAAAATTAAGTAGGATGACACATCAGCATATTTGTTCTCTACCCATCTCAACACTAAGATTTAGTTAGACATCTGTGTCACTGACTTTAGAACGTCTAACACCAGTCTAGTAAAATATAACCTAGGCAAAATATACTCACAATTTGCATAAACCTCACATTTTTTAAATTCTTCCAAACAAGAGACTGAAGAAAAATATATCTGAAAGAATATAATGAACGTGCAATCTATATTCTGCAACTCACCTGTAGTGGCCACACAGGAACTCATCAGTGCAAACAAGGCCATCACATAATGAGAAGGCATTTTTATTTCTCCAAAAGTGTGCCCCATTCAGTCACCTCAGCTTCAGACTGTAGACAGTGTTGGCAAATCAAAAGTGGCCTTAAAAGTCCTCCTTTCCAATTTTCAAACTGCCTGTAAAAATAAACATATTTCAAGAAGAAAACTTAATGCAGAAACTGCTTTTCAAAAATACACATTAAAGTGAAATGAAGAATTTCTAAAAAGTATAAGATTCATTTATCTTACAAGATGCCTAGACAGCACTCCAGTAAGCTGATGTGGGGGTGCTAATTACCTAATAAAGATTTTTAAAGCAAATACTTTTGTAAAGAAATGCTTAGTTTTAACACTTTAAATCTTTGGTTTTATATAAAATTTTCAGGAATACAGAAGAAAATCAAGATGCACCTGTAATAGAACATTACCAGTTACGTTGTGGCACTAAAGTAATCAATGATGCTTGACACATGAACTTCCTAGTGTCAACAAGGAAACAAAACTCTGATCAGAGACTCAGTCTAATGTTATAATTACAGAGTCATCCCAAGGATCAAATTAAAATACATTTAGAATCAATGTGAAAAATAAAGAACCATCAAAAGGAAAGCTCTCTTTTCAACTGTTTGCCAACATTTTAACAGGAGACAAGTCTTCCCTGTCTCTCAACCCCATCCAAGACTGGTTACTGGACCAGAGGATCCAGAGGTACTTTCTAACCTTATGCTATCCAGAGCCTTGAATGACAAGTTTTAATAGTGATTTGTTTAACTTGAATATCCCTCCTATGGTCCTAAAGATTACTTCATTTAGACACACCAAATGTATTTTCCAGACCTATATCCCTGAGCCTGGCACAACCCACAGAAATTGTTCAATTCAACAAGCATTTATTGAGCACCTACTATGTTCCAGGCACTGTGTAAGGGCATGACTCCTTCTTATCAGGAACTGAAGGTATCTAGCAACTGGCTAAAAGCACAAAGACCCTGTCTCATCTATGTGCTGAACAAGGCAAGATCATGGAGTTTCCAGGAACCATCTCAAATAGCTGGGAACGGCAGCCTTGGTACCCGCACCCAGGAAACACTAGCTACAGAACCAGCTTGCTACCTTCAGAGACAAAGCCAGTTTGGGTACTTATAGATGTAGTGCAAAAATATAAAAAAACAATGGCAAAGGGTCGCCTGGGTGGCTCAGTCGTTAGGCCTCTGCCTTCGGCTCAGGTCATGATTCCAGGTCCTGGGATCAAGCCCCACATCGGGCTCCCTGCTCGGTGGGAAGCCTGCTTCTCCCTCTCCCAGTCCCCCTGCTTGTGTTCCCTCTCTCGTTGTGTGACAGAGAGAGCTCTGTCAAATAAATAAATAAAATCTTTAAAAAAACAAAACAAAACAAAACAGCCACCCTGATACTCAAATCAGATTCTCTTTGAAAAAAAAAAAAAATGGCAAAATAAGTTTGTTTGTTTTTTTTTTTAAGATTTCATTTATTGGGGCGCCTGGGTGGCTCAGTTGGTTAAGCGACTGCCTTCGGCTCAGGTCATGATCCTGGAGTCCCGGGATCGAGTCCCGCATCAGGCTCCCTGCTGAGCAGGGAGTCTGCTTCTCCCTCTGACCCTCTTCCCTCTCGTGCTCTCTCTCTCTCATTCTCTCTCTGTCAAATAAATAAATAAAACCTTAAAAAAAAATCTTTAAAAAAAAAAGATTTCATTTATTTATTTGACAGAGAGAGAGAAAGAGCACAAGCAGGGGGAGCAGCAGGCAGAGGGAGAAGCAGGCTCCCCACTGAGCAGGGAGCCTGATGCAGGACTCGATCCCAGGACCCTGGGATCATGACCTGAGCCAAAGGCAGACACTTAACCGACTGAGCCACCCAGGCGTCCTGCAAAATGAGTTTCTAATTAAATGGTCTTAGTTCACTGCATCAAGTGTTAAGGAAAAGATATTTAAATGCCTCTTTTCAGGGGCGTGCTCTCACTCTGTCAAATAGATAAATAAAAAGCTTTAGGGCACCTGGGTGGCTCAGTTGGTTAAGCGACTGTCTTCGGCTCAGGTCATGATCCTGGAGTCCGGGGATCGAGTCCCGCATCGGGCTCCCTGCTCGGCGGGGAGTCTGCTTCTCCCTCTGACCCTCTTCCCTCTCGTGCTCTCTATCTCGCATTCTCTCTCTCTCAAATAAATAAATAAAATCTTTAAAAAAAAAAAAGCTTTAAAAAAAATAAAAATAAATAAATAAAGTAAAATGCCTCTTTTCAAGGGGCGCCTTGGGTGGCTCAGACGATTAAATGTCCGACTTTTGATTTCAGCTCAGGTCATGATCTCAGGGTTGTGAGATGGAGCCCTGTGTTGGGTTCCACACTGGGCATGGAGCCTGCTTAAGATTCTCTCTCTCCCTTTCCCTCTGCCCTGACCCCCCTCCCTCTCTAAAAAATTTTTTTTAAAAAAGGGCTCTTTTCAGTAGTATACTAATTACCTGTAACGAGGGAAAGAGGATGACTGGGGGGCAGTGATGGGAGCACAGGAGCCTTTTCACTAATTCCCATTTGAGTTTTCTACTATTGGGGTTTTGCAAGTATTACCTATCCAGAAATAATAATAAAGTTCTAACATCCAAAAGAATTTTTTACATATGCCTTGAAACTAAATTATTACATATGCAAGAGGTACTGTTGTTCAAACTTGATGCACGATAGTGATTAAAAGCCTAGTACGAACAGAAAATGGATTATGATGGCAGTTAAAAGCCTGCCTAGGTATGAATCCACTCTGCCACCTACCAAATGGGTTATGCTGGGAGGATTATTCTGCACGCGTGAACCCATCGTATGGGCCATTGTGAGGATTACATTAGCGAGCACACGTGCGTGCATGCGTGTGTGTGTGTGTATAGATCTTAGAACAGTGGGGAACACATAATAAGCAATCAATATATGTTACCTATCCATTCCTTTTGAGGTATATTTATACCAATGAAGTGGAGAAATTAGGATGTGGTTATTTATGTAATCCTTAGCTACTATAAAATCAGTTCAATCTTTTGTTTACTGAAAAAATGAGTATTCCAACAGACACAAAAAGGAGGTAAGCTAAAGAGTGGAACCACTAAAAGAACAAAATGACCAGTCGAGAGGCACAAGTCATTAGTGACACAATGGTCTTGTCTCAAAAAGTGCCCAAGTAGATAATTTTGGAAAGCATGAAATGACTTCAATCACCCCTTTAAGTCCAACACTGCTGTCACCATAATTCCCCAACATCTCGAATGAAATGGAAGTCTCCTCTGTGAACTTAAAAAGTCAACGACAGCAGGGTGCCTGGGTGCCTCAGTCGGTCAGCTCAGGTCATGATCTCAGGGTTGTGAGATCGAGCCCCGCATCAGGCTGCTTGAAAGATTCTCTCTCTCCCTCTCCCTCCCCATCTTCCCCTTCTCCCGCTTATGCTCTCTCTCTAATAAATAGTCTTAAAAAAAAAAAGTCAATGACAGCAAAGATAATTTGACCCTATTTTTTCCCTCCAACAAATTAAATTTCCTGAATGGATTGATAAAGAAAACTCTCTCCAAAAGAATATGCTATTTCAGCAAATGCTAAGAGCAATCTTCATAAAGCAAAAACCCTGTAAGAAGATCCCAGAAGAAGATGGCTTCCCAGAGGATTTTTATGGAGCACATAAACTATAACCAGCACGAGGCTTGCGGGAATATGTAATGAGCTTATGTCCCCCCCTGGCCACAGCTGCAGCGGGTCTGTGGGACTGTGAGCATTAATCCAGGGGCTTAACCCAGGTCTGAATGAACCTGTGGAAAGAAAGGCAAAAGCTTCTATTAAAAATATAGACTGCAAATTGCTGACAAGAATATTGGGCAATTATTAAAATGCAGCAATTACAGATATAACAGAGCCAAGCTAAACAGTTTGATGCCCAAAGGCAAACCACAGCAAGTTTATACCGGATCTTAAAACATCTCCGAGGAAGTCCAAGACAAGTTGAAACTACACACTGCTGCTTCTAACAAAGAGGGAGCTTTTCTTCTTTTAGCTTAAAAGTCCCTCCGTAATGTAACTTGTTCAAAAAGAAAATAAACTGCAAAGAGTTTTTGTCTAATCTTCTCAATGTGGTGACAGGAGGAGGAGAATAAAAAGGGAAGCGTGTCATTCCCATTCTGTGGAACTCCAATATTGGCCAAGACTTGCACACATCAGCACCTTAACGTACAGCCGAGGGATCAGTTCCCCAACTAGAAGAATGCTGGATGATCGAGGTTCCCAGAAAGTTGTAGATTGGAAATACAAACTCCTCTTTTGTTCTGTAAGGTTATATCACACTCAATTTGCAAAGAGTAGGGACTCCCCACCCTGGGTTTCTAAACTCACTGAATATCTTTGGCCTTTATAAACTAAATGCTTCCTTGAGAAATATAAATAAAGTACTCTGTGATCTTGAAAGAACACTTTGGGGTCCACTGTGCAACATTTTGTCCACATTGCAAAGCAATGTGTTGCATCCAAAGGGTACCAGTACTTTTAGTGTCTACAGATGAGCAAAAAAAAATTCTGAGAGCTTAATGGACATAAAATACACACACACACACACACACACACAAATGTGATACTAATTCTTCTAATTTCAGAGTTCCTCTGTGTCTATTTCTGACGCCATTAAACAGAGTGTGCTGCCCCACATTCTCTAGTGATCCAATAGCATGCACAGGTAAAGAGCAGGATTAGCTGAAAAACCCCTACCCAAATGAAAACCATCATGGGTTAAACCAATGTTCAAAAGGAACCGGTTGGGAACAGTATTCCCTGGGTTGATTGGGATGTTTTTTTAAAAAGGCATAACTTTCTCTATCTTAGAGGAAAAACGTGGTAAAATGATGTCTGACAATAGGCTAAAAGCCAGCAAGAGAAATTACTAACTTCCCCTTACATGTCTAACACAGATGGCTATATACATGAGATTATTTAAGATCAGAACTTACAATGAACTTGGAGTGTATCAATTTCTCAATTAAAGGAACTGGCATGCTAGAGATAAGTAATAGCTTTTAAAGCTGGAAGAGATCAACATGATTTCATTGATGAAGAGGAACCCAAACTCCAAGCCCAGCACTTGCCCAGGGTAATATAGCAATGC